GAAGAAACTAAAAAAAAAAAAAAAATCATCCACGTAAAAGCTACTCTTTCTAAACGTCAAAAAGCACCATAAGTTAGCAAAATTAGAAGTAAACAAAAAACCATACATTTAATATGAAAGTTAGTATTTTAACATATAAAGGGATCTCACCAATGAGTCAACGTGAATGACCAAAAGACAATTTATAAAAGAAATACAAATTTAAAAACCTAGTAGAAAAAGCAAAATCTAATCTCCCTAATAATGAAATAAAACCTTTTCATTTCTTTATTTTATTTATTTATTTATTTTTTTTTTTTTTGGGAAGAGGACCTCTATGTAGCTCTGGCTGGCCTGAAACTTGCTGTAGACCAGCCATGCCTTGAACTCAGATTTTCACCAGCCTCTGCCTTCTGTTCTGGGATTAAAGGCATGTGCCATGTCACCAAACTGGGCTAAGCCATTAATAAAAACAAAAAACAAACTAGAACTGGAAATTCTATGAATGCGCACATACTTTAAATCAATCTCACTTCAAAAATTTATCTTGAGAAAATAGGTATTACTAAAAGATTTTAAGATAATGCATTTTGGTGGTTATTAAAAAATTGGAAATGGCCTTCAGTCCAACAACAGGCATCCTACTTAAACAGAACATAAAATCACAGCATAAGTTTTAAAAACTATGTAGTCATGAACAACTATATTATACGGACTATTTAACATGGGGAACTAGCACACCAGGTAAATGGAAAGGTGTGCTATGAGTGCTGTTATTTAAAGTATTTTAAATGAAGAAAAACAATGTACAAAGTCATCTGAAATGGAAACTAAAATATCATTGATGGTTTCCCCTGCATAGGGAGATGAACTAACTTGTTTCACTCTTTACGCTTTTCAACTTTTACAACACAATTTAAAGAAAAAAATTTATAAAACTATCATCTATTAAACTTCGTGGAAATGCATCACATCTGTATCTTTGATCAATAACTCTACTTTTTGTGATTTATCTTAAGGACATAATCAAAGGTGCAAAAAGAAAAAAAATCAGATAAATGAATGTTTATCACAATGTTATTCATAAGACAAAATTTGAAAGTTACAGGAAAACGTGTCTAGAAATTTTTTTTAGACAGATCTCCCTGTAGTCCAAGCTGGCTTGGAACTCACTATGCAGACCAGGCCGGCCTTGATCTCCCAGAGATCCGCCTGCCTCTGCATCCAGAATGCTGGGATTAAAGGCATGTGCCACCATACCCAGCCCTAACAAAGGAACATTTAATAAATGTGAACCCATAGGATGAACTGTTGTGAGCCAAAAAAAAAATGCTACTGAAGAATGTTAATCACAAAAATTAAAAAGAAGAAAAAAAATGTTAATCCAGAGAAAATAGTTTAAGGCTATTATAACATAAAAGAAAGTATAAAATACATATGTACAATGTAAGTCAAATTTCACAGTAACATATGAATGATATTTACACAGAAACACAAGGAAATAATTTTACACATTTTTAATCTATTATTTTTATTTTATGTGTATGAGGGTATTGCCTGCATTATGTAAGTGAAATGCCCATGGAGGTCAGAAGAGGGGGTTGGTTGCCCTGGAACTGGAGTTATAGATAGATGTTAGTCCATGTGAGTGCTGGGAATAGAACCCTGGTCCTCTTCAAGAGCACCCAATGCTCTTAACCACTGAGCTATCTCTCCAGCCCCAGGGAAACACTTTTTTTAAAGCTGATAGCTTTATTCAGTCTTTTTGAGACAAGGTATCCCTGTAGCCCCAGCTGGACTAGAACTTTCTATGTAGCCCAGGCTGGCCACACCAGATAGGTTTTGTCTATAATTACCTTAAACCACTTATCAGATATTTTTTTTCACTGAAAATGTGCCACATTTTGAACTAGACATTACAGCTCCAAAGAGGTACACTCTATCAGGTTACATACTTGGTTGCTCCATCGTCGTATGTTGCCATTAACACTATTGTCCCATCTTGTATGCTCTTCAGAAACTCAACAAATGGTGCCACTTCTGAAGAAAAAGAGAGTTGAGAATTTCCTTTTTAAGTAAGAGTTCATCACAATCATCTCTACAGTAACATTATATGAAGTTTCATTAAACAATTTCTAATGAAAAGTAATGCACAAGGTAGAAAACATATCTTAGGAAGAGCTCAAAACTATCCAATTTGTTCCTTAATTCAGTCCGTCCAACACCTTATTTCCTGGTTCTAATCTATCTTGCATCTCTTATACCAATATCACTGGGGCTAATGAAAATTCATAGCAAATCCATCCCAAAGCATTGAATGTACAGTAAGAACCTAAGAGACCTCTCAGGAGTGAGGAACGGGATCTTCCATCCAGATTCTGAGGTTCATGGATAAGATTTGAGGGATTATAGAAGGGTAGCTCATGGACTCCTTGAATGCCTATATAGGTATTTTTCTAGAACAAAAATACATTCTTTTTATCTAATCACAAAAAGATCTGTAATTTTTCTTAATCTATAAATAGATAGAGATTTAAAAGCTTTTTCAAGATCTATCAATTTGCAAAAATTGGGGGAAATATACAGATCATCACTAAAAGCCGATCTAATTATGACCAACATTGGCTCTCTTATGCATCAGGTCCACAAAAAGTCAAAACAAATCAGCTTAGTGATGAGTGCAGACTGGTGGTGCCAGATAGTCAAGTCAGGGACTATTAAGTCAAATCATCTTCCATCGTGACCTCTTTGTAATGTGATCTTTGTTCTAAAATTACAAAACTACATTACTTCAAAACTACCCACATTTTTTTGCACAGCAGATTTCAAAGATTTTCTCTAATAAGATTATGCTTTGTAATAATAGCATTTTTTTTTTTTTTTTTTTTTTTTTTTTTGGTCTTTTGAGACAGGATCTCCTTGTAGCCACAGCTGGCCTGGAACTTGCTATGTAGACCAGGCTGGCTGGTATCAATCTCATAGAGATCCACCTGCCTCTGCATCCCAAGTGCTGGAATGAAAGGTGTGGGCCACCACACCCAGCAATAATGACATTTTCAATTCAGAAAAATATAAATACAAAAGCTAAGAAGTCACTCCCATTTAAATATGAAGATGGCAGTAAACTGCAATTATTTCTTAACGTAGAGTGTCTTCAGTAGGAATTCTGCCCCTGTGATAGGCAATGAGGGCAATACCAGAGCTCTGGGTTTATGCCTGATTTCAACAGCCTCATGGAAGAGGTTCTATGCTATATATTATACTAAGAGCAACTATGCCTTTAGAATCTGAAGCTAATGGTAATAGTGTAATTTAATATATCTCTGACAGCTATGAAACATTCTCCAAATCTTAAATAATACACAGCATCTTATTAAAAGCCGAAGAAATATTAGCTTGTCTGAAGATTCTGAACGTAAATTTCTGGAAGCCTAAGAACTGCTAGCCTGTAAGGCATATATAAATGGATCAAGCCAAAAGAGGAGCTAGGGTGACCTCTTCCTTCCTTCAAACATGAAGAAGAAATCTTTTCTTTGGGGTATCATTTTTTGGGGTGTCAGTGCTTGCCACTGTATGCTGTGACTTCCTTTCAACTGTTCAATACATAGCAGAGTACCCAAGTAGAAATATGATGAATTAATAGGATTACTGCTTTTCTAAAACCACACAGTTTAGGTTACATACTGAAGGCTAACAGCTCCCATTTTTTATTAATTTTTGAGACTGAAAAACTGAAAGTACACAAATCAATTCAGTCAGTCAAAAATAAGTTGCGATACTGCTCTTCAGGTCCAGGAATAAATCTAGAGAAGCCCAGAGATTTGAATCAGGACACAGATGCTCCTCAAATCTCAACCACACACAACTTTCTTCACATAACCAAACTGCAACATGAGCAATCACTTCCACATAATTGAACGCAGCATGAAATAAGAGAAGACAAAGTCGAAACGCAGATCACGTCACCATTCTCTCCCGACTGGACTAAGTCAGTGTCAGCAGCAGAGCAGAGATATAAGTTAACTCACACATACCTCCTCCCCACATGTCAAAATATTTAGTGTCTAATACTTCTCCTGTTTTTCCTGAAAGAAAATGAATACAAAGAAAATTACACAACTGAAATATCTGCCAGGGACAAAGCATCTTACCCACTGCCTGACATTAGCTCATTAGCAGAAAAGGAACTAGCCTAGCGTGAGAAGGTAAAAGCTGAGCCATACACACACAAGTTCATTACTGGCTTCAGGCAGCTTCTAGTCAAAGATATACTTTACTTCCACGTCATAGTACCTTATTAAAGAATTACCCCCAGGATATAAATTTTACAGCAAAGAAATATCTACCTAAATCAGAACATAAAAAACATTCTACGCTAAAGCCATTTAAAAATAATATATATACTTATTTTGCCGTGAAGGTCAATTAAATAGATGAAGAGATATTAAACATTCTACCTGGTGAAATGAACAACAGTACAAATTCATAAATTTACCGCCTGTGAAAACAGCGAAGCATGCTTTAAACGCGGTGAGTTTCGTAAAACAGCTGGCAGTTTCAAATCACTCCAGGCAGCTTTGCAGGAAATTTCTGTATCTCAACAGAGACCAGCAGCACAAAGCCTTCTCCTCGTGGGCTAGAGTTCTGCATTTAATTTTGTAATGCTCATTCTGCTCAGGATTCAGTGAACTTAGGTACTAATGCACCTCTAAGAAGAATATGGACCATACTAAAAATTACAACACATGTTGACTTTGTTCCTCTTCTAATTTTCCAACAGTCCATAATCCTGTCATTATGTATGCTCTTATTCCTGTCTACCTACCTTCATATTATGTAAGAATTCTAAAATGTGGAGCAATATTGCATCAACTTAGTATCAGATTGGTTGCTTACACACAATTTCACAAGTTCTTCACACAATGCATAAAGCTGAGAAGTTCTCAAGAAAGTGTGCTACAGACATGTAGACAGCACATCTCCATCAGTGATGGTTTAGATGGGAGGGGGCACTTGTTAGGAGGAGGTCAGTGTCAGGAGCAGTGCTTTCTAATCTGATCTCTTAACACAAAGATAAACTTGAGATTTGGGCATAAATATACCCATTGACTATACCATAAAGTATAATAATTATTCTTACCATTTACCAAGGCAACATTGATGCCTCTTCCAACATTGTTCTTAACACCACTCATCAAACTAAAGTGAACAAAATCAAGACAAATTTATTAGAATTAGATATTGAATAGAAACAAGTCACAGAAACTAAATGCTGCAAAAAAGGAGTACTATGCACACATCAAATATTCAGCAAATTAAACGACATCTACTGAGTCAAATGCAGCCACATGTTCAATCAACTTTAAAGCAATGTCCTTAAATAAGACTTCAAAAATAAAAATATGTATTAGGAAGTTGTTATGGCTGCAATTCCAGACTGGTACTGTTCTGCATCTTACTATGCAATGCCATCTGAGGCAATCCCGCAAGCACCTGGGCATCATGGTTCACAATCTCAACAGGTCATCTCACTTCTGCCTTCTGCAGTATCCCTGTAAATGGAGTGGAGTGACATGCTGTATAAGCCCTCTAAAATCTGAAATTCAGAGGAGCGATGAAATCAGTCATGCCCATGTCATTGTGCTGTAAGCATTCTCCTAGTGATCACAATGTAAACCGCCACGCACAGAAGGGATGCTGTGTTCCTCAATTCTCTCGCCACAGCCACTTACATGGGCTTCCTGAAATGACTACCATCCTGCAACTCAGAGTGCCATGCAAAAATGATATTATGGGAAGGAAGCACCAGTCACACTTTCGTTTGATGTCTGCTTACTTTATTTAATTTGAACTATTAAACCAAAACATATAGGAAATTTTAAAGAATTTGAGGTATTAACAATATCCCAGCAATGTGCTGCTCAGTGTTGAATAAAGGGTTTAAGATTGGAAAAGGAGGGGCTAGAGAGATGGTTCAGCAGTTAAGAGCACTGACTGCTCTTGCAGAGGTCCCTGGTTCTATTCCCAGCACCCACATGTCAGCTACGAACCGTTTTTAACTCCAGTTCCAGGGGAATCCAAAGCCCTCTTCTGACCTCCGCAGTATTGCACGACACAGATGCACTCACATACATGCAGGCAATACACTCATACACATAAAATAAGAATAACAAATAAATTATTTTTTAAAAAAGATTGGAAGAGGAGCCAGGCATGGTAGTGCACACCTGTAGTCCCAGCACTTGGGAGGCAGAGGCAGGCAGATCTCTGTGAGTTCAAGGCCAGCCTGGTGTACATAGTGAGTTCCAGGCCAGCTGGGGCTACAAGGAGACCCTGTCTCAAAAAGACCAAAAAGACCAAAAGAAAAAAAAAGATTAGAAGAGAAGGCTTCTTGCAGATATGTGAGTACACAGATGTACCCATCAGTACATCTACATACATGTATCATTATACTGCAAATTGTATTGATAGGAAGAACATGTAGCATACAATTTTGCAAATAAAAATCCACAGCGCTTCATTGTAAATCTGACACAGCCAACTGATTCTCACAGACTATGCTAAGTGATTTCCACAGAACTCGTATCTGTAAGTGAACTATAGAGAGAGATAATCTCAGAATATGCTATCAGGGGCTAATGAATTTAAATCCATTCTTAAGCAAAGAAATATAGCAACCATGCACAATGGCACATCTTTCCCACAAGAGGGCAGCACCTTATCAAGTGCCAAACAAATTCAAACAGAAAAACCACCAAAGACATAAAACATAAAGACTCATCAGTCCTATCCTCCTAACAGCAATGAAAATATTTCCTCTATTCATTATGACTGTGATGGTACCATAGCTGCCCTCCATTTCCAGGTGAAAACCTACAGGAAATGGTGTAACTATTACACACCTTTCAAACAGTTTTGTTGCACATATCTACCTTATGTTCTTGCTACTTTAAAAGGATTCAAGTAGGCCTTGTGAGTCAAATCCATTCAGCTGGATTTTTGTTTGGTTTTGTTCTTATTTTATTTGCTTCTCATGAGCCTAGAATTATTTGTACATTTGTAAATGGCCACATTTTAAATGATTATGTAAATATCTACCTCTGTAAATACCTCCTGGATTTTACTTGTTCAACTCCATGGCAAAAAGCACTGTGTGGTTCCTTTTTTAAAAAAAAAAAAAAAAAACCTGCCTATTTGAAAGTCACTAATATCAACCTCATACAAACCTCAGATAAAAACTTTACCTTGACCAGAAGAAAAGATGGTCAGCTTCTCTAATACAATGGAGAAACAAAGCTGTAACTCCTATTCTGTGTGACACCTGTGGTTCATACCAGGACTCTATCCCTACCTAATGACACATCTGAAATGCACCTTCATCTCCATCCCCTATCCTGATACAGCCTCAACTTCTTAGGTACCATCCTAGGTTTAATGACCACCTTTTGACTGTCAGAAGACCGGGCCTAGGGATGACATTATGACAGAACCACTCTCGTGGATGGGGCTGACCTGAGCACTGAAAATGTTCGGCAGCAGCTGTGACTCTGCAAGTGGCACCCCCATAGCTGAGACATAGGACAAAGCTGCTGCAGGGAGCAAAATCAACCCCGCCCAGAAATGGAGCCGGAGTCTCCAAAGAGAGCTGTGTGTACTTGAGAGCAGGTCCAAGAACACGCGCATTTCTATTATTTACTTACACATTTTATAGGGAACACAGGCAGGACTTTGAGAAGAGAAGCAGTAGCAAAGGGCTAGCAGCAACTGCCAACGGCCTTCCCACTGCTCTTTACTGCACCTCAGAGTCATTTTAGATAGGAGCCAAGAAAGTTTTTTCACTATAAATAAAATCCTAATATGCCAGAGTCTGAAAACCTTACCAACTTCTCAATTCACTTAGGAAAAAAGTCTCAGTCTGTTCTTTACATTGCGTGAAGTTCCTGTGTGGCCCACCTACTCACTCCTTCTGGAGTTTTCCTATGGGCACGTGCCTCCTTCCGTCTAAGCTGTTCTTTCTGTTCGGCACCTGGTTGTCTCCCTCCTAATCTCTTGGTTCTCAGGCCACACTATCTTAGAAGTCCTTCTCCACACTCAGTCTAAAGTCTGGGCCCTTGCCCCTGGTTCACAATCTACAGTCAAACTCCTCCTGTTACTCCCTCGAATCAGTAAGCACCACACACACCTGCTGCCTGTACAGCTGGTGTCATACTTAATGTGTCACTTTCTTGCATTTACTTTCTAATTATCTGTCACTCCTACTAGACAATACATTCCATGACAGGGAACCACACTCAGGAGACACTTGAACAGATGAATGACTGATGCTTAGGCAACCAGGCTCTTTAAGCACTGTTTGAAAACATATACTAGAAAAAAACCACTGGACTAGGAATTTGTCCCCACAATGTCTCCATTGGAGATCTCTGGCCAATTACGCAGTCCAGCTTCAAGACCTGAGGCCTAGCTATAAAATCTCAGCAATTATTTCATCTCTTGTGGGAATGGCAGAATGATTCTTGAAATGCCACTCATCGGTGGCCAGCCTCAATTTTATGGTCAAAGAAACCAAAATTCAGTACAACTCCTACATGACATGCCCACCATGCCAGAACCAAAGTATCTGGCTCCAAGCCCAGTACAGTTACATTAAGCCCTAGTGCCAACAGACATTTACATTCTGACCTATATAACTGTGGCTAGAAAACCAGCTTTTTAAAAAGGTTTGCTCTCTTTTGTGCATTAAACTGCATGCTTCAAGGATACAGAGTAGACATCTGAAGATTATCTGTGTCGGGGGTATTCCAAAGGCACTTTGTCCTATTATTTAGACTCAAGTTTGGGCTCTGTTTTTTGAAACAAAGGGGAATGTTTCTAAAACTACCAATTTCTAAAACCCCTGTGGTTTGTTTCATGTCACTGAACAGGACTGGGATAATGAGAAATCAGAAGGTAACAGATTAACAGTGGCTCCTCATCAGCATGAGGGAAAAGAAAGGAAGTAAGTAGACCTTAAAGACCATCAATTTTGCAAAAGTGTTGCCCTCTGAGGCAAGACCTTCTCATAGTTAGTTTACTGAAAAAGAAACTGGGATAAAAAGTTCAAGGATTCTATTGGAAGTTCAGAGACATGGATTGCTAGGAGAAATTGCCTGGTTTCCACATAGCTATAAATCACCTTACCCCTTATTCCACATAAACAAATGCCATATCTACTATTTTACATGAATTTTAAAAGAGGGCATGTCCCTAATTTTCTAGGCAATCAGATGACAAACAACTAAAAATGGAGTTTGCAATTTCCTGTGACAACTCACTGAAGCAAAATAATAAAAAACTACAAAGCATCCTGTGTAAAGCACTGCAACCCAGCAGCGACCCAGACTAGCCACAAGCAGTGTATACAACAAGGCACCTGGCATCTCCAGTCACTGACACTTCAGCAAGCAGCATCCAAGTAGTAAAATGAAAGGCACTGCTTGGAAGGCCAAGTGTTCACTGCTCTGGGGAATGGTGTCAACTGGACTTTGCCCTGATACACCTGCTCTCTATCTGGGATTTGTGGTCTGAGCTACATGTGGCACTGAGCATCTGAAATATGCCAACTATGACTAAATAATTAATTTTTTATTTTAATGGTCTTAAATGGATTCATACACACACACACACACACACACACACACACACACACACACACACCATACTTCAGAATGAGACTGAAATAGTCACACACATGTGGTGGTTGCAACATGGGATGAGCACATCTCAGAATTTACTCTGAGGAAACCTTCATCTCTACACACAGCAAGACAAATGCAGTGCTCCCGGTCACTTTCAGTGCACTGGGGAAAATCACACAATGATAACTGACATCGCAGTACTTTAGTAAAAACCTTTTCAGAAGCTCCACAGCCCTTGGGTTTACTAGCTGTCCAGGTGGTCCAATACTCACACGTTGTCTTCCAGGCAGATTTTGGGTCCCACCACATTGGCTGCTCCACTTGCCATTTTAAAAGCAAAATGCTTCTCAGGACACGCTTTTGAGATCCCGCACTTGTATCTGGGAGGCTTTGTAGCTTTGGAAGAGCAGAAATAGATTTTTTTTTTTTAAAATAATGGTTAGCAAGACTCTATAATCAGTTTGTTTTGTGTCTCAAACCACAAAGGACATTATATAAAACACCAAAATACAATTTGAAAAAAAATTAAATATGCTGACATTTTTCCCCAAGGGTTTCAAAGAAGGAAAGGAGGAAAAAAGGGAGGAAGAGAGGGAGGGAATGAGGTAATAGTGACCATATCATATGATCTTGATGAGCACAGACAGATCTTCTCTAGTTATTCTTGACATTATTATCTTTAAACTTCAGGATGACTGAGACTTTTGAAGGGTTCCTTTGCATTTCTACTCCAAAACTGCAGGAAATCCAGGCTCACTAAAAGTCAGAAGTCCTCCTATCTGTCTGGTTACAAGTTTCAACTGTGAATTCTGCATTTACACTACCAGAGCTAAAACCCATGAATGCAAAAAAACACCCATTAATCATGGAGTACCAATAATTCTGGGCTGTCTAAATAACATCTGTTTAACTTAAAACTCAACTTCAGGGGGCTGGAGAGATGGCTCAGCAGTTAAGAGCACTGACTACTTTTGCAGAGGACCTGGGTTCGATTCCCAGCACCCACATGGTAGCTACAAACCGTCCTTAACTCCAGTTCCTGGGGAATCTGAAGTCCTCTTCTGACCTCTGCGGCACTGCATGACATGGGTGCACTCACATACATGCAGGCAATACACTCAAACACATAAAATAAAAATAATAAAGCAAATATTTTAAAAAAACAAAAACAAAACTTAACTTCAAAGTCAGCTTTAGTTCACAGAAACTACCAACATTGCTTGAAATATAAGCTCCCATCTGCCTACAAACCACTTATAAAACGAAAATACAATACTTACAGCGTGAAGCTGAGTCCAATGCTGATCTTGCTAAGGAAAAAAAAGTTTTTGTTAGAAATAGTAAGCCTATTGGCAAATATCTACTTCTTAACGTATTTAAAGCTTCGAATAGGCCTATAAAAATATGTGTTTGAATGAATACTTAGTATACAATAAATACCAGTATATTTCAGAGAAACAGAAATAACTTTGTATCTTGTAATTCATTATAAGGAATTATGTAGTGAAATTATGGGTGGTAGTGTTTAAATTCTGACAGACATTTTATTTTGCACTTTAGAAACTTAAATCCCAATCAGAAAGTTACTCTAAGAACAAATGACTATAAATATGAACTGGTAGATGACAAGGTGTTTAAAAAGCTGTCCCTGCAGCCATATGGGGCCAGGTGCACATGCAGAACAGCGCTGGAGAATACGCACGATCTACCTTGGTGGTTAAGAGAGGATTTGGAGGTACGGGAAGGCAGGCGAGGGTGAGTGCTGAGTAAACTTTAATTTCTCCACAGTAAAAATGTATTGGGCATAATAAAGTTAATTTTGTTACTGAGAGTTTCATATTTTATCAGATCAAGGATGGCAGAAGGTCAAATCTTAACACCTGCAGTGGATCTCAACTTGACCATCCATCAAAATTATACTCAGTGCTTTCTAAAGGCACCAATGTTTTATCCCAGGCCAGGAAATAACTCAGATTGTCAAAGTATTGTGGATAGCTGGTTCCTGATCTGGCTAATAAGTATGCAGTGTGATAGACGATGGCCAGATGTGTGATCATAAATAGTCCATTTGTTCTTACATCTGCACTATTTTTGATAACTGTGAATTTCCTGTAGACCCAGTATTCAAAGCATGGAACAGAAAATCAAACATGAAAGACAGTATCTAGGGGCTTAAAAAAAGGAAAATGACCAAGTGGTGAAGCTTCATTACTCAACAGAACACTCAGTAGAATAATATGCATCATCAGGCACAAAAGCACTGCAATAATGTGGGTAAAGTTCAATGCATGCAACACAGCAGAAAACAACCTTTATTCACACCAAAACCTAAATACAAAATGACTCACATGGAAAGACAAGAGTCTTAAAACACAGAAATGAAAAAGTAAACAGAAAAGGGGGGGGGTTGTGAATCAGATGCTAGGATTACTGGGTTCATTTTTTTTCAATTTTCTTATTTAATTACAAAGATTTTATCCAATGATCTCACTTTTTTAAACCCCAAAGTATGGTGAGCAATATGAGGAAATTCCCAACTTCACTTTGTCTTCAAAAAGGCTGGGGTGATATGGCTCATTGGGTAAGGGCACTTACTGCCAAGCTTGGGGGTCCCCAGGGCAAAGAGGGTGGGAAGTGAGAACTGACTTGCACAGGTGTATTCTGACCTCCATGAACACATGTGTACCTACCTACACACACACACACACATACACACACACACACACACACACACACACACACACACAAATAAGTGTAATTTTAAAAAATTAAAGGAAAAGAAAAAAGTGTATCAGCAAATTCAGGTGCTAAAATTCTTAGAAAGGAACATAATTAAAATCCGGAATTCTAGGGGTTAGAGAAATGGCTCAGCTGTTACTGCTCTTTTAGATAACCTGGGTTCAGTTCCCAACACCCACATGGCAGCTAACAATCATCTCTAGCTCTAGTTCTAGAGGATCTGATGCCTTCTGGCATCCATGGGCAAGGAGCACACATGGCAGACTTACATACACAGTACATTATCTGACCCATGCTACTGAGACGAAGGGAGACAGTGGGATCTGAACAGGGCTAGGAACACAGTTCATTGACATGTGCTCATACTCTGCCAAGAAATTCTGTATGGGTTACTGGCTCAGTCCTCATGTTTCAGATATAAAAAACTAAGAACTGAAAATTACTGGTACGTTGCTCTACATCATACTTAGTAATTAACAGAGTTAGCTTTGCTTTTGTATTTTTAATTTTTAAATTAAACTTAGTTATTTGTGTGTATGTAGGTGGGAAGTGTCTTTACCTATTAAGCCATCTACCCAGAGCTGGCTTTTGAAGTCATCTATTGCATGGTACCCAAACTCACTGTACCACCTTTGAAAGGCGAATGTGTGTACAAAAAGCAGCGGTCCTGCCAAGAGCAGAGGGCCAAGTTAGGGTGCTTTTAGGACAAGCTTCTTGACAAGAGAGGGTTCAAGGCTGAGTCCATGAACATCATGACTACGCAATCTAAGTTAAAAAGATGACAATGAAAAAGCCAGTTTTAGGTCGGCTTTTAAAAAGTAGACAGATTCAGAGACAGTAAGAAACACAGGCAGGACTTTGGAATGGACCAACTGCAGGGATGATGGAGGAGTCAGCAACACTGATTGGTCAGGGGCCTGGCTTTAGAAGTACACCCATATTCACTCACATGAGCCAGTGAACAAAAACACCTCTGAACGCAAGTCCTTTATAATCATGTGAGGAGATGAAGTGGGCACCAGTGGTGGATGCTGCTACACTAATAATTTAAGACACTTGGAGAAGATTGAAGTGGAACAGTATAGAGGCCAGCTATAAACAAGACCTGGGATAAAGACAGAAACAGGAAAAATTAGCAAATAGATGAGGACTGCTAGGAAGGACAGAATCAGAAAGGCCATCCATGATCCTGTACTGAGCAAAGGGAGAGGAACCTCAGGAGCCTGGAGTGACTGAGAGAAAGAGGACAGCCTGGTGAGTGTAGAAAATGACCAAACTATTTGTAAAATTTCAGATGCAAAAACTAACTACTACTTACTTAAAAAATTCAATAGGATACAGTTTAAGGGAAATCTGTTTGATAATTATCAGTCTTTTGAGTAAATATACCTACATGAAATTTGTGTTAAGGGTAGCCAGATAAGATGTGTGAAGGTGGAGAAACTCTCACGAAGGGCTTTTTATAAAGTTATTTTTAACCAATACTCATCAAAACAGAAAGATCTCTACTAGGTCTTAGTTCTGAGGATGTGAGAACTAGGAGCCAAGCACATGAACTATTTTTCATAACAGGTATTGCCAAATATCAGGCACAGACACAAACTAGAAACACAAAGCCCCACCTCACCCGCAAGTCTTATTCCTTTATCTACCTGACAGCTTGAACCTTTAATTATTTTCCGTACATATAATACTTCAAGGAACAGGCACAAACCCGTTTGATTTAGCTGAATCAATAAATGTCTTTCAATAAGTCAGACAAGAAAATTAGAACTATGTCATACCTGAGTTTTTAATACTATCTCAAGTATTTTATGCATATTCTACTTACCAGTGGCTTCAACCGCAAAGGCTAAATCAACCCCACAGAACACATACAACAGCAGTAAATGCGAAGACCATTTGGACTGTGTTCTGCTTTGTACTGACTATGTATCCAGGCTGAAAACTAACACTGCATTAAATTGCAGTCAGGAACACAACAGCAAACTGTCCATGTCCGTGTCCTGGCTGTAACAGTTTATAGTTCCTAAGACATTAGTAATGAGTGAAAGGGAGCAAAGCATACCCAGGGTCTCTATGTGACTCTACAGTTCATTCAAAATGGTCTTTTTTGGGGGAAGGGTACTGGGGATCAAATCCAGAGTCTTACGTATATGGAGCAGGCATTTGAAATTCTACTGCTGAGCTACATCCCCATGCCAAAATACAGTGAGCTTTTTTGTTTGTTTTCGCTTTTTAGTTTTTCGTTTGTTTGAAATCACTAACTACCTTGTAAATTCAACTACTCATTTTTCCTGTATGGAAATGTTTATTTTCTTTTTCTAAAATAATATTATATACTATATAAAAAGCTTGAACCAAAATGTTCTGTTTAAGCTATTAAGTTATTTAAAAAAACAAAACAAAACAGAAAACTCACCACTGAAAGAACTATAATTAATCTTATGGATAACAGGATAAAGGTTCCTGAAACAACCCTAATTCTGAGTTCAACTTTCTGCCCTTTGCTAAATTATGAATGCTAAATAAAGAGCAAAGAAAACATTTTATGAAATGAGAATCAAAATAAACCCCACAAATAAAATTTTCACCAGTTCAATGTAGAGTGGAATCTATTAATTTTTAAAATTTTATTTCTTTTTCTTTTTATTTTATGTGTATGCGTGTATTGCCTGCATGTGGGTAAGTGTACCTGTGTCATGCAATGCCCCCACGGAGGACAGAGAGGCTGTCGGATCCCCTGGGACTGGAGTTATGGACAGTTGTTAGCTGTCATGTGGGTGCTGGGATTCAAACCCAGGTCTTCTGCAAGAACAGTCAGTTCTTAACCACTGAGCCATCTGTCCAGTCCCCATGGAATCCGATAATATTTTATAAACAAAATGTACTGCAGTTATTACAGTAAAACAAATACCTCCCCCACCGAGGCCTAACCATTTGGTTAAAATACACACAGTAAAACCTTGCAGGTTCTTAACATATCAAAATGGAAACTGGGAGACAACTGCTCTCGTTAAAATGCTCAACACTGGCTCATATCTGACTGCCAGTAATTTTCCAACAAATAGTGTTTTACATGAATCCCACTTGGACACACTCTTACTTCACATATAAGGCTCTAAATCCTCAATCAATCTGCATTGATTTTTAACTCAGGATACTGGGATACTGCCTGCAAGGCCCAGGATGAAGCTAAGGCTTTAGGCCTTCAAGATCCATTTTCTGGTGGCAGCAGACAGATTTTAAAAAGAAAAAAAAAATAAATTACTATAAAGGCAGAACAAAATCAGTGTCAAGTGATATGGGTGCCAAGCAATTAGAACTCACAGTTCAGAAAAGCAAAAAATTCTAAAAGGGAAGAGGCAGGCTCAAATACATTTCCCAATAGGAGGTGCTGATGTTTAGGAAGTAATAATGAATCCCAAATAGGGTCAGCAAGATGGGTGAGAAAAAGCACTTTGTCACTGAGCCTGACAATCTGAGTTAAAGTCCCAGGACCCATGTGGTACAAAGAGAAAATTGAAACCAAGTTGACCTCTGACCTCCATAGGAGAGAACGGATACTAAGTTGTCCTTTGATCTCCATATATATGCCATGGCATGTGTGCACACATACAAACACATATAAATATATTAATATACTAAAAATAATTTTCAGATGAGATGAGCAAGTTGTGCAGGGTGTGGACAAAGGAGCAAAGGCTGGGAAGGAAAGACAGAACAGGCTGTAACACAGCAGTATGGCACACAGGGTGGGGCCGAGGGGAGACCAAGGCAGAGGGCAGGCTGGGCTGCCAGCATTATCCTAAGCAGGGACTTTGGATCTGCAAGCAATAAAGGTTGATGAGAGTTCAATGCTGGCAGTGGTGGAAGGAGACAGGTGGACAGGTGGCAGTGGAGACAGGACAAGAAAGAGGCAGGGACACTACTGAGATGTTTACAGAACAGTCTGGACTAGAGATGAAGGTCCAACCTAGGAGGAGACAGGGGAAAAGGGACAGGGATAGACACCAGCAGGTTACCAGAAGGGGATTACCACCTACCTGTGGATAATGAGTGCCACACTGTGGCTCCCCCCACTCTCCTTTTCACTCCTCTCTGAACACAGTGGGACTTTCTCCAAATAACTTCCCACAGTCCCCTTCTCTCATGGACCCTTCTTTTGTCTATTCAATCTATTTTCACTGATTTGTCATTCACTACATTTTCACTCAAAGTCAACAGATTATTAATAATAATAAAAAAAATACAACTTGCTTCTGTAGCAAGCTCTTACAATTTTCTTTCTTTACCATCGACATTTCTTACAAGAATTATCTTAAGACTTGGCTTCCAGGACGACGGTGAGCCAGCCCTCCGTGCCTTCAGTGTGCTTCCTTCCCACCACTGTACTTTCAAAGGCTACCAGACTGGCCAATAAGCAGCCAGAGATGAACACAGACCACAAAAAGTAAAATCAAGTCTCATTAGACTTTTATAGTAACTTTAAACTGGATACTTCATGTTAAGTGAGGGAAAACAGGATTGGCAAGAAAATGGTCAGTGTACTGAAGAGAACTGAATGAAAGGGAGGATTCCATTTCTCTAAAGGGTGAAAATCTTTAAGTTCCAAAGAATCATGGGTACAACTGAATATATACGATCACTGATGCAGAAAACAGCTCCAGCAGCAGAAGTTAGACCAGTGGGTTGAAGTGGCTTCAAAGTATGGAAAGCAAGCCAGGTGTGGAGCCAGGGCAGGTAAGATCTCGGTGAGATCAAGACCAGCCTGGTCTACACACTGAGTTCTAGCCAGCTGGGGCTACAGGGAGACTCTGTCTCAGAAAAAAAAAAAAAAAAAAAAAAAAAAAAAACAAAGCACAGAAGGCAGAATCCAGTAGAATACAAAGAAAGAAGCACTTTTTGTCACTGTGAGAGATTCTACCTACAAGATCTGTTTACTGTTCCACAGTCATAGTCACAATGAGCGCCACACAAGGGAAGCTCAGCATCACCTGGAGCTAGTTAGAAATGCAGAGTCCCATGCTCGGAGTGGTGGCACATGACTTTAATCCCAACATTCAGGAGGCAGAGGCAGATCTTGGGAGTTTAAGGAACAGCCTGGCCTACATAGTGAAGTCAGGTCAGCCAGGCCTACATGAGACCCTGTTTTAAAAAAAAAAACAAAGGGAGGGAGGGAGGGAGAGAGGAAGGGAGGAAAGAAGGGAGGAAGAGAGGGAAGGGGAGGAAGGAAGGAAGGGGAGGAAGGAAGGAAGGGGAGGAAGGAAGGAAGGGGAGGAAGGAAGGAAGGGGAGGAAGGAAGGAAGGGGAGGAAGGAAGGAAGGGGAGGAAGGAAGGAAGGGGAGGAAGGAAGGAAGGGGAGGAAGGAAGGGAGGGAGGGAGGGAGGGGGGGGAGGGAATGTAGAGTCTCAAGCCATATCCCAGATAACAAATCTGCATTTACCAAAATTCTCTGAAGACAGCTGTGACACAAGAATTGAAGCAGTGCAAATGTGGGAGAATCTTGGCTCAGATTCGAGAGGAAGGGAATCAGTCTTACATAAAGTAAAACTCAGAAATTCAGAGCTCTCAAAGTTTTTTTATTCAATTCAACAGACCAATACACTGTATCTAGGTTTTCATCTCTTTCATGCTTAATTTTAAGGCAAAGCTTACTCCACATAAACACAAGGATCCAGGAAGAACATCAGTCACTTCACCAGCTTTCAACAATGAAGCCTGGTGGTCTCCAAAAGATTCAGAATTAGTTTTATATACAGCCTGAGGTTAAATATAATCATTTTCCATTTGAATATATAAACATTAAATTCTATTCTTTATCCTTTTCATGGTAAACTTAAGGCTGGGGGTGTAACTCAGTGGTAGAGCCCTTGTTAAGCATGCACAAAGCTCTGAGTTTGACTACCAGTATCTAGAGAGAGAGAAGTGTTTTAGGCTGTCATGGTGGCAATGTACACCTGTAATCCTAGCACTGGGATCAGGGGTGGGGGGCAGAAGGATCACAAGTTTGAGGACAAACTAGGCTATGCAGTGAGTTCCCAGATGGCTTGGTGTACCAACATATACTTCTACGATAAAAATATTTTAGGAATAATATATAAAACTATCTAAAATAGCATTAAAGAAAACTGGTTCCACAGCTGGAGATATGGCTTCGAGAGGACCTAGGTTTAGTTCCCAGCACCCACATGGCAGCTTAAAACCATTTGTAACTCCAGTACAGGACACCAGGCATGCACATGGGTGTGTGTGTGTGTGTGTGTGTGTGTATGTGTATGTATGT